CCTCAAGTGCATTGGGAACAGACCAGGGAATTGGTGGATTCAGAGAGGAGCCAGGAGTTAAATCTCAGCTAATGAACCTTATTCCATCTCTAAGAACCGTAATGAGAGTGCCATTGATAATAGTAAACTCAGTTGCAATTGTATTGCTTTTACTAGTACTATTTGGGTGAAGATCAAAGGGGGAAATGGAGACTCAGAAGAAGAGATGCCAGCAGAAGTTATTACTTTGGTTTTATTGGAAGATACATGTCTTCGCTGGCTGTCCCTGGACTTGACAAAAATGTAAACATGATAATAAAACCAGAGCCCCTATTTATCTGATTGTTATAAATGTTGCACTTATAGTTTCATTATAAAAAGAGCAGATCATCAGAGGCAGTAACTATCCAGGTTTGGAATACATTTGATTGCTGACTGTTAATAGAAGTTTATGCTATGGTAAAGATTGTTCAAAGGGTAGGACTTATCACTTCAGTGTTTTTAGAGCTTCTTCTCTCACTTCTTAGGGATGATTTTTTTTTAACTTTTGAAGTTCCTTGTGACTTAGTTATGATGCTCAGAGACTGATCATCCTCCTAGATAAAACTTAAAGGATTTAAGAAACTACTACATATAAAGTGATAAATAGGTAATTGGGATGATTTTATTTTGAACTCTGGTTAAATATTTTGTCTATATTGTCTTGGCTATGAAAAGTTCATAGTACTATTGAGGTGCAAAACAGTATGACTTTAAGGAGAATTCTAATTTTGTAAGTTAGATAGTCACTTGGCAATTGTGTTTTTGTTTTAAAATATTTTCATGCATTTCTTATTTTAGTAATTGGTCTGAATGATGAGACCAGATCAGTATATACATATTTTCATTGGTAGAAAAGTATATACCCTTTTTACAATGGTGACTTATTTTTTAAAATCAGCGTAAACATTAGCCTCTAAGAGCAATCCTAAACAATCACAGTTATAAACTATACTATGTAAGAAGACTTTATTGTGAAGCATTTACCTGTCCCCAAAGTATCTGTGTTTCTATTTTTTGGAGTAATACATTAAGGAGTGTGAGTCTTTTTTTTTTTTTTTTTTCAATATGTTTTTATTGATTTCAGAGAGGGAGGGAAAGGAAGAGAGAGAAACATCAATGATGAGAGAGAATCATTGATCGGCTGCCTCCTGCACGCCCCTACTGGGGACGGAGCCCACAACCTGGGCATGTGCTCCTGACCGGACCCAGGACCCTTGAGTCTGCAGGCCTATGCTTTGTCCACTGAGCCAAACTGGCCAGGGCAGGAGTGTGAGTCTTAATTCTTATTTGCATCGATCACTAGGGCATTCAGCTGGATAAGTTTTGTTTTGATGTCTTGGACCATTCAGTATTTTACTCATCCCATAATACAGTTTTATGCAGAAAGATTAAAACTATGTAAATGTTTTTTCTATAAATTATGGGTTATAATATTTAAAAGGGGTAGAATTGCATCCTTGTTTATAGCACAACGTTTGTAAATAAAGTAAAATGTCTAAGTAAAAAAAAAGAAACAGCTTGTTGGCTGTTGGTTGGTAGTGAAGAAGAATGAGAAATTAAAGGAAATTTCTTAAATTCAGGAATGGCATGGCTGGAGTGGCTCCATGGTTAGAGCATCAGCCCCATGCACTGAAGGGTCCCGGATTTGATTCCCGGTCAATGACACGTACCTGGTTGCAGGTTTGATACCCAGTCCTGGTCAGGGTGCATGTGGGAGGCAACCAATTGATGTATCTCTCACATCAATGTTTCTTTCACCTCTTTCTGTTTCTCTTTCTCCCTCTTCCTTCCTTCCCTCCCACTCCCTCTAAAAAAAAAAAAAAAAGATAAAAATTAATGGGAAAAATATCCTCTGTTGAGGATTAACTAAAAATAAAAAATAAAAATAAATGAATGAATAAATAAATAAATTCAGGAATGACCTCTAGCTCTACAAAGATATCTGCTGGTTTTTTCTTTGGTTAGTATGAATGTACTTCTCTGAGTTTGTGATTATAATAAGGCAATCTGTTAGTGTCTGTGTCAAACACACTGAAAGTCATCACCTCAAAGGCAGTTTACAATCTGGGCTCTGTAGGTCAGGACTTGTCCTCCTGTCTTCCTTACTGGCCCTCACGAGTGGGGAGATTACCATAAGCTCCTTCTTGGGGAAATCAGCAGTTCCCATCTTCAATGCCACTCTATTTCTTCTTGTTTCTTACCTGTCTTGTTATCTTTCTGCCCTTTTTCATCTGGCTCTTCTGCACATCCCCAACGTAATGACTTTTTTCTTTGTATTTCTGACTTGATTTATACTTTTGATTTATTCTATTTATCTCTGAGGCCTTAGTATAGCTCCGGTTTGAGTTAAAAGACCTGCACAGGAGTTCTGCCCACATCCCTGACTGGCTCTGTTACCTTGGGCTGGTCACATAGGATCCTGAACCTGAGGTTTCTTTATCTTGATCAGATCTGTCCCATCTCTCTCACAGGGTTGTTGTGAGGATCAAATAAAAGTGTCTTTTAAAGCATAAGTGTGTAGCATTATTAATGTTCACAACCTCCCCAAATGGCCTTGTTCACTCCCTGCCTAGATGCCCTGCATAAGCTTGGGTCATGGTGCCTTTTTTTGTCACATGCTTGTTTACCTGTGTACCCTTGAAGGCCTTACATCTTATACTCTTTAAATTTTCTAGCACTTGGCTTAGAGCTAGTTGGTATGGATATAGGCTTAATAATGTTTGAACAAGTGGGTAAAGAATGTCTGTCTTGCACAGCCAGTGTGGCTCAGTGGTTGAGTGTTGATCCATGAACCAAGAGGTAACAGTTTGATTCCCAGTCAGGGCACATGCCCTGGTTGTGGGCTCAATCTCCAGTAGCGGGTGTGCAGAACGATTATTTTCTCTCATTATTGATGTTTCTATCTCTCTCTCCCTCTCCCTTCCTCCTTCTCTGAAGTCAATAAAAACATATATATATATATATATATATATATATATATATATATATATATATACTTTTTTAAAAGAATGTCTCTCTAAAGGAACATACTCTTTATGGTCATACTCTTTCTGAACAGAGTCTTCCTATGATAGCTCTATACTTCTTGAAGGTAGTCTTGTTAAAAAGCAGTCTTTCAATACTTGCTTATGTTTCCATTTGCAGGATGACAAATTCCAGTGCCTATGGTTGCCTTCCCAAGATCTTTACACATATTCATCTGATGAGTCTTGTTTTTTGTTTTTTTGTTTTTTAATAAGGCAAATCAATAAATCATTCTAGATTTTGAATTAGAGATAGAAAATATTTTATATTTTTTGTTACTCATTTAACTAAATATGTTGAGTATCCTTTGGGTACCAAGCTCTGTTCCTTGGGCTGGGAATATAGTAGTGAACAAAACAAGTGATGTATCTGCTCTTAAGCAGCTTCTAATCCAGTAGAGTGGTGATCAATGAAGAAGTAAATGAATAAATAAGATAATTTAAACTAATCTTAAGTGCTGTAGGGGGAAACATGTGAAAAAGCCTCCTAGACAGATGAGTTCTCACACATGGAAATAAACTGAGTGCATTACATGTGTTATGCTCTTACTTTTACTGTGGATTGGGTTACTTTCAAGGGATCTAATTGTCTTGTTAGGTGAAGCCCAGCATCATTCATACCTCATGGAAGTGGCTGTTACTTGGGCTTTTGGCTTGATGAGAACATCTCAGTCTATAAGAGGGTTCCTCAACCTTAATGAGGACCCTCTTTGTTCAGGTTGCTGATATTTGGGTGTCCTTGAGGGACCAAGGGAGGCCCTGAGAAGCTGGGGGGAGTTGTTGACCATCCAGTAACCTTTCTGTACCATCTTGTTGCATCAATGCACCCACATCCTCAATGCCAGGGAAATTGCTTGCATTCTCTGTCTGAGGCCTTTTGGTGGTGAGCAGTTGGGTATCCATCCATTGCAGAGCCTATGAAGAAGAAGATGGGGTGATAGGATGAAATGTGAAGAGTGAACTATGGGGACACTTTGTTAGTTTGTGTGATTCCAGTACTGAAGGATGCAAAGGAATGAGCTTTATGAAGATCTATGTGTGGAGGCAACATACTAGATGCTCCCCAACTGGGGAACACATTTGGGAGTTTGAGGAATGGAAAAAAGTCACTGGCTAGAGCAAGCATGTCAAACTCGAAGGCTAACACGGGCCAAATAAACAAGGTTTAAGTCTATGTGGGCTGCAAAAAAACAAAAGCTTCAATTTTCATAGAAATGTAGGTTTATTTCGATAGAGACATGCTGAATACAATGGGCTGAAATAAATGAGTAATCATTAACATAAAATAATAGAACATTTTAATAAAAATTAATATTTTTTTCTTGAACATTAACTTACCAGACACTGATTAATAAGTGTAATGCAAATCAACCTATTTTTCTTGTTCTCTGAAAGTGAAATATTTCCTGTTGTGCACACCAAACAAGTCAGTACAAGACTAATGACATGGCAATCAGCTGCTAAAATATTCACTGCTAGTATTAGTGGAGAGAAATGGTGCGCCTTTGGGTAAGGGAAATGAATGCAACACGATTATAGTAATCAGTCATTAGCAAACGTTGTAGTTCGTTATTAATAATTATTTATAACAGGATATTGTGAAAATTAAGTTATGAAATTTTTACTAAAACGTTTCTTACGTACCATTATATGGCTGGGCTGCAAAAAATATTCGTTGCGGGCCACGAGTTTGACATGCTTGTTCTAGCTGGTCTGTAAATGCTGAGCCTGCACAGCTCTGATCTTCCTGACCCCACTCTACTGCAGGGTCGGCCTGTGGGGGAGGTGCCCAAGCCCATGCAGATGGATGGAAATACTATTTTGTTTTTGTTTTGTTTTGTCTTATAAGGGGTTAAAAGTAGTTTTTACATTTCTTTCATTTCTGAAGTTATTTTTGTATGTGAATTCTGAAAATTGTATAGGTTATTGTCATAAATGGAAACTTTTTCTTTTCAGATAATATGGATGCAAGTGAACTCAAGCAGTTTTTTGAGACCAACTATTCTCAGATATATTTCATCTTCTATGAAAATTTTATAACACTGGAAAATAGTTTGAAATTAAAAGGTAAGCATTTCTGCAAGTTTTTTTTTATATACAATTTTTTTTTAATGTTCAGGTTTTCTTACATCTCAAACTCAGACTGCTGAAAGCTGCACTCATCCTCTTACCTCCCCAACCTGTCTCCCCTGACCCTATCCCTAACCTTCCAGGGTCCCACTGCTGTAATGACAGCTCATGAACTAGACCAGGGGTGGGAAAACTTTTTGACTCGAGGTCCACAATGAGTTCTTAAACTGGACCAGTGGGCCGGAACAAAAGCATGGATGGAGTGTTTGTGTGAACTAATATAAATTCAAAGTAAACATCATTTCATAAAAGGGTACGGTCTTTTTTTTTTTTAGTTTGGATCTGGCCCGCGGGCCGTAGTTTGCCCACGGCTGAACTAGACTCAACATCCTGAACACATCTTTGACTTCTCACTCTTGCATCCCTTTTCCTTATATCCATGAAGTGCCTGTGGGACACCCAGGTATAGGTTCTTGCTGGGCAGTAAAAACACAGGGACTGGAGCTTGGGAAGGAGAGGTACGACCATGCTGTTGTAGAGAAAGAATGGCAGTCAGGGATTTGGGGTAATTTCTTCTTTTATCGGGCAAAGAGGAAAGATAAAGGAGTAGTGGGTGAGGGGAGGGGTGCCAGGAAAGTTTTTTTGTCACAGATGCCCAGAGAAGAGATGCAAAAAGGTGAGTAGCAGCAGGACTAGGAAATGATAGCACAGCGAAGAGGCTGTCACTGACTAGTGACAGAAAAGTTCTAGCAGAATAGTGGGAGCAGAATCCGAACAGAGAAATGGAGTAGTTTGGTGGTGAGACCATGAAGGCTACAGGTGAGAATACCGCTTTTGATGAAGACAGAGGATTATATCTCAGGAGTAGCTTGGTCATGGGTAGGTTTTAAAGGATGCATTTGCTTGTTTGCAGGCTGAGGAAAGGGAGATAACGAGCGGTGCGAGGTAATGGGGGAAGTGGGTTGAGACAGGGGCAGGTATAAAGAGGACATGGAGAGGAGTGTATAGATGCCCTGATTGCTTCTGTAAAATCAGAGGCAAATGTCAAGCATGGAGGGGAAGGAATTTGGGGCGAGGCACTGTGGTGGTCCCTGACATATAGCAGATGGCTCAGAGTCTTACAGAATGCTCCAGGCTCTAGTGCAGCCGTGGGCAAACTACAGCCCGCGGGCCGGATCCGGCCTGTTTGAAATGAACAAAACTAAAAAAAAAAAGACCGTACCCTTTTATGTAATGATGTTTACTTTGAATTTATATTAGTTCACACAAACACTCCATCCATGCTTTTGTTCCGGCCCTCTGGTCCAGTTTAAGAACTCATTGTGGCCCTCGAGTCAAAAAGTTTGCCTACCCCTGCTCTAGTGGGTCATCAGGCATGGGCATGTGCCCAGATACCAAGTATTTGTTTTTGTTTTTCAATGAATTGCTCTTTTCCACACCCCCCCCCCCAACGCTGTGATTTATAAATTGATATAAATCTTGAACTTAAAATTATTTTTTCCTCAAATTGGTAGATATATCAAATATGGAATAATCTAGTTTTCTAGCTTTGCTCCACTTTCTTTTCATAGGTGTGTGGAGGAGAATAGTGTAATATTATGTGCAATCAAAATAGCAATGGAAAAAATTAAAATGTCATATCTTAAAAATAAACACCCTACAACCTAATAACCCCATTCTAAAGGGTCCTTCTTCCCTCCCTACTCCCCTTTTTGCTTTCTCTATCTTTTTAGTGAAATATAGCTGTTCAACAATGTATCAGTTAGTTTGTGCTGCATAGCAAACCATCCCTAAATCGAGTGCCATACATAACAGCTAGTCATTTACCTATGATTTTCTGGGTCTGTTGGACAGTTCTTCTGGTTTAGGCTAGCTCATGCCTCTGATAACAGCTTATGGTTGGCAAGCTATTGACCATGTTGCCTTAGTTCTCCTGCATGTGGCCCCTCTTCTCCAGCTACAGGCTGTCTTGGGCTTCTTTAGATGGTGGTCTTAGGGTTCCCAGCTCAGGAAGTGTTTTCAAGTTTGTGCTTGCCTCACATTTGCTAATATCTGTCTGGCATTGGCTAGAGCAAGTCACATGGAGAAATAGACATTTTTTGATGGGAAGGGAAAAACTCTCCATTTTTACAGTCTACTGCAAAGAATCATAACAAAGAACCAATAAAAACAGGGTGAGGTTTTGAAGTTTCTTGCTTTTAGTACAATCCGTGTTTTTTACTAGAGTGCAGGAAAAAAGTTGTATCAAAACAAAAGAATCAAGGGAAGTGTTTACTAGGAATAATGAACTCATCTTGTGATAACTTTAGCCTTCCAGTTATTCAGGCCAGATCCCGAGTTATTGCCTCTATCTTCAAAATACATCAGCATCCTTGGCCTCTTCTCCCCCTTTCTTTCAGACACAGGGCCTTCTTCCAATCGCCTTTCTTCCTCACCGTTCCAAACCAGCTCAGCCATAGGACCTTTCATTGTCAAATCCCTCTATTTGGAAAACATTTCCCCTCAATTTTTTACCCCCAAATGTTCATGTGTCTCGCTCCTTACCTCTTTCATAGCTTCACTCAGATGCACCTTATCAGCAAGGTGTTCCCTGACTTCACTAGTCAAAATTGCATACCACCTTTTTAGGCACTCCCCATCTGCCTTTCTTATTGGTTGTCTTACTTATTCGTAAGCTTCCTTAGGGGTGTTCTTTTTTGTTCATTTCTGTATCCTCAGTTCCTGGAATAATCCCTGACATAGAGACATTCTTTAGTATTCATTCAATGAGTAAATGATGTTACTTAATAGAGCTGTGGGGCCCTAGCTGGTTTGGCTCAGTGGATAGAGCATCGGCCTGCAGACCTAAAGATCCCGGGTTCGATTCTGGTCAAGGGCACGTACCTTGGTTGCAGGCTCCTCCCTGGCCCGGGCCCTGGTCGGGGCTCATGCAGGAGGCAGCCAGTCAATGTGTTTCTCTCACATTGATATTTCTCTCTGTCTTTCCCTCTCTCTTTCACTCTCTCTAAAAATCAATGGAAAAATATCCTCGGGTGAGGATTTAAAAAAAAGCAAACAAAAACATAGAACTGTGGGGATTCAGTTAGATCAGGGGTCCACAACGTACAACTGCTGCTTGTTTTTATAAATCAAGATTCATTGGACACAGCCATACCCATTCATTTATGTATTGTCTATGGCTGCTTTTGCATTATAACAGCAGAGTGAGTGGTTGCAAGAGAGGCCTGCAAAGCCTAAACTACTTATTATCAGGACCTTTACAGAAAAAGTTAGATGGTGTATGCTAAGCAGTTAGCACAGTGCTTGGTACATAGGTTGGACAATAAATGCTAACTACTGCTGTAGTTGTTATGATTTTTATTATTGTTATTATCAAAAGGACTGTGTGCAGTTGCTTAAAGAGATATGTGAGTTTTTATAGTTACTACTACTCTATGCCTGTTCATTTCACAAAATTAGAAGTATTTCTATGTTTTTTTTACTGTGCATTCTATCATAATTTGACCTCATAAGTAACTAACTGAGAAATGAATAAGTTACCTGTCAAGGGTTGATAACAACTGGGAAAACATGGAAGCTGTGTTTAAGGATCAGCTTTGCTAGAAGTGGGCCCAGGCTGTCTGGCTTGGTGGTCCATCTGCATTCCTAACACGGGCACGACATCCCAGTATTATTTGAAAAAGTAAATGTATGTTGATGCTTAAATGTTTTAAGATACCTTTTAACAATGTTTTTAATATCCTAAAATGTACACATTGTCATGATAACTAATTTTTTAATATATTCCAGGGAATAATAAGTCACAAAGGGAGGAGCTGGACTCTATTCTCTTTCTTTTTGAAGTAAGTGTTTGTTAATTCATTTAGCTTTTAAGATTCTTGTAGAAAATATGTTATTTTAGATCTTCAGTTTCACTTGAAGACAAATAAAATTGTTGGACATGTATCTCCTCCCTCCCTCCTTCCCTCTCTCCCTCCCCACCCTTCCTTCCTCCCTCCCTTCCACTTTTACAAACAATGCTGCAAAGAATGTTCTTGTGATTTTTTTTCTTTTTGCAAGCATGTGGGAGAATTTTTCTGTGTGGTTACCTAGACATGAAATTATTAGATGGAAATGTATGCACATTTTAAATACTGATATTGCCAAATTGCTTTTTAAAAAGTCATATAAACTTATATGTAAACTTATATGTAAGTCTTATGTAAATTTCCTAACCAACACTGGAAATGATTTGTCTTTTTCATATATGTAAATTGACATGTAAAAACATACTGTTTTTAATATATATTTTCCTGACTACTAGTGAGGTAGCAATCTTTGTATGTGTCTCTGTGCCCATGTGTGTCCATCAACTTTGAAGAGTTCTTCAAAGTTGAAACAGCATTTGGGTTTGATTTTTGATCTCACATGCTTTTTTGTCCAAATGTATTAGACAAGCGGCCAGATTATTGGTACCTTGAGAACTATACCAGAACCAAATTATACCAAAATATAGGTTCTGCAAGTTAATTCTTGATTATCTAGAAGTTATTCAGGATTTGAAGATACTTGTGCTTAGGTTAGTGTGTGTTTGCTGCAGAGCTGGCTGGAGAGGGAGGCCAGTGGAGGAAGGCTCTCCGTGGACTTTCTGGGTTTGTGGACTAAAACAGAGATGGAAATCTCCAGCCTGGGGCTTAGCTCATGGCTGTTGCTCAAAACTGTGGCTCCCCTTTCTCTCCTTTGAGGGCTGTACTCATTCCTCAGAGTAACAGACATTCATTCACCTCATATTCGGTGGTTATTGTGTTTCCTGTGGCAACCCTTCTGTGAATGAAATCTGTGCAGAGTCATAAGATGTGCAAGGCAGTTCAGGGGTGGCAGCTCCAACTTTATTTTAAAGTTGCTCCGTTTATATTATTTCTTCTACAGCTTAAAATATGTATCTACTGACTACCATTTGTTTAATTAATATAAATTATTTATGTAATAGCTGATGCATTTACTAAAGAATTTATAACATGCACATTTGAAGCATAATGATCAAGCCCATACTTTTGAGCCCCTCACCTCCCCCAGTTTAGATGCTCTTCCTTGATCCCATCCTTTCTTTCCCCTAAAGGCAACCACTCCCATGCATTTTTTCATTCCCTTTCTTTTTAAAGAATGATTTTACCACAAGAATTTCTATCCCTCAACGATGTATCGTGTAGTTTTGTTTGATTTTGAGTGTGATAAAATGGCCTCATATGGTACACAATCATCTTTGGCTTGCCTTTTACATTCAACATTATTTCTAAGATGTTAGAAAGAAGGCAAGCCTCCAAACCAGGGGTCCTGGCAGAACAAAAAGGAGCCAGACAGCAAGGCAAATACCCTCACTTCTGCAGGAGGGTGTGCAGCCAACACAGGGTCTGGTAGACACGCACACTGAGCAGGCAGTCTCCTGGGAGGGAGCGGGGGTTGGGGGTGGGGGTGAGAGCGCGGGAGGGATTACGGGAGGGATTATCCCTGACTCACACCATCTGTCTCTCACTCTTTATTGGTTAGAGTTTAGGCTCACATTCTTGTGCAATTGGTTAATATAAAGGAAAAAGGGAGGGGTTGATTTTTGCTGTTTCAAAATGGCAGCAGCCTAAACACTCTTGACAGAAAAGATTACTTGTTTATTTTCACAAAGATTAATTCATGTTTCTGAATTTAGTTCTAGTTCATTCATTCCATTCCCACTGGATTAAATGAATATATAGGATTTTTTAATTCCAACATTTTGTCTATAGATTTTTTGTTTTGCTTTCTTGGTAGATAGAATGTCGGTGAATAATGACAAGCTTGCTGGTTAGTTTGTCTTACTGCACTGGCTCTCTAGTACATTGATAAATAGACATGATAAAGGTGGTCATTCTGTTTCTGATTTAAAGAGAGTTTCATTAACATTTCATCATTAAGAATAATGTTTTCTGTACATTTTTGGTTAGGTACTTTGTCAGGTTAAGGACATTTGTTTCTATTCCTAGTTTGGTAAGATTTATAAAAAAAATCATAGATGGGTTTTGAAGTTTTTGAATGTTTTTTTTTCTTCATTGTTGTGATAACATGATGATTTCTTCATGAGTATTAATGTGATGAATATAGTTCAGAATTTTTGGGAGGCTGATATTTTGTTTGCATTTTTAGATCTATGTTCACAACTGAGGTTGGCTTAAACTCTCCCTTCCTCATACTGTTTATGAATGATCCTGTGGTAAAGGTAATAGAGCCTGTTGTAAAGCATTTCTTCTTGTTTTTAAATCCTCACCTGAGGATATTTTTTCCATTGATTTCTAGAGAGAGAGAGTGGAAGGGAGGGAGGCGAGATTGAGAGAGAGAAACAGAGAGAGGGAGAGAGAGAGAGAGAGAAACATCACTCAGACAGACACATTGATTGGTTGCCTCCCACACATGCCCCAACCAGGGTGGGGATCAACCTGAAATCTAGGTGCGTACCCTTGACTAGGAATTGAACCTGTGACCTTTGGTGCATGGGGGTTGGGGAGCTCCCCCCAGGATGCTGTAACCACTGAACAACCGGCCAGGGCCATGTCTTCTTTTTTTTGTTCTGTAAAATAGTTTGTATAAAATTGCAATGGTCTGTTCCTGGAGTGTTTTTAGTCTTTTCTAGAAAAGTCATGTGAAACTGTTGTGTTTTTTTGTTGTTGTTTTAATGGAAATATTTTAACCTCTCATTTAATTTCTTTAATAGTTTTAGTATTATTTTAGTATTCTAGTTTTGTTTTTTTTCTTGATTCTGGTTTGATAAATTATGTATTTTTCTAAGAATTTGTTCTTATTGAAGTTTCCAGTTATTTGCTTGACCCTTCTTTTAGGGGTCATAATCTCTTTGGTTTGATCTACTCTAGATTAATCTTCAATGTCTTCAAACAGTTGTTATTGATAGTAGACACATTATTATCAGTAGTAGTACCAGTAGCAGTAGCAGTAAAAGTATTCGTGTTACACTTTACAGCTGTAATTTTATTATATCCTCTAGTTGCCATTGTAACAGTTTTAAACTCTGCTCTCAGTTCAGTTGTTCCTTTAAATGCCTTTTCTCTCTGGCTTCTCTTACAGTCTTTTTCTTAATCTTTGGTGTTCTGCAGTTTTACCACAAAATGTCTAGATGAAGATTTCTTATTTTGCTTGGTACATATGTGCTTCCTGTATTTCTGAATTTAAGTCTTTTGTAATTTCTGTAAAATTCTCAGCTACTGTATTCTCAAGTATTGACTCTTTTCTGTTCTTTCTGGCCATACTTCTAGGATTCTTATTTAAAACTAGTGGCCCAGTGCTCTGATAAAGCAAGTGATGTGCAGTCAAGGCTGCCAGGCCAGTTCAAGTTGCAGTTTCAGGCAGTGAGCAGACCTTTCTGTTGCCTTTGTCTCCAGTGGGAGCATTTGTTCCCCTTGGAAGTTGACCTCCAGCCATCTTTGCTCCTGGCTTCAAATCTGTATATCGCTTAATGCTTCTGTTGTAGCTGGTTCGTGGAGATGTTAGTCACATTTTGTATTGAGGTTATAACTGTCTAATTTTACTCTTTTTTTGAAAACATTTTATCTGTCATTGCTATGTGTTTCAAATGGGAGTGGGGGACTCCATAAAATGAATTTACATTGTCATCTTGACTAGAATGTAAATGTTTTACATGGGCCATCCTGTTTAATCTCTTCCATCTTAAATAGATTCTGTCTTGCCAGTTTTTATGGATAGAAGAATAGGACCTTTGCAGTTTGAAGTGACTTGTCCAACATTGTACCAGTATCAAGTGCTACAAAGAGATATAACCTCTGTCCAACTCTAGAACCTATTTCTTTAATTTACTACTGAAGCCAGACAATGAATGGGTCTGTGCTGCCTGTCACTACTTGAGCCAATTCAACAAAGAGAGGATTGAATCATATATGATCATTTATTCCAGTACTGCCAGCATTATGGGAGAGCAGCAGGTCATCCACGAAAATCTGCACTGCAACTCCCCATAAGCCAGCTGCTTATATTGGTTAGGACAAAGATTACATGCGGTAGGACTCCATTGTTTGGGCAACAGGTTGTTAATCTTTCCATGTTAGTAGGCAGTTCTTGAATGAGAATGGACCGCATTCCAAGGTTAACTGCCAGATCCAAGGTTGAGGGTAAGGGATAGTACAACTCCCAGCCAGGTTAGAATGTCCTTTCTTTAATCACAGCAAGGCAATCACGGTTAACAGAGTATGATTAATATTTCTTATAACTATAGCTAGTCCCCAATATTCTATGTTTGCTCCTAAGAATACCACGATGCCTATTACTTAGGAGTCTTGATATTCTCCTGCGTCTCAAGCTCTATTGCACAGGCCATCGACACTAGCACGCACCTGTTCTTTATTATGCACGTTTATTGAGTACCTGCTATGTGTCAGTCACACTTCTAGGTGCTGGAGTGATGGCAGTGGGCAAGACAGAACCCCCTGCCCTCATGGAGCATATGTTAAACTTCCTGGTAAACTGAAGAGTCCACTTATAAGAATGGACGTATGTCAGAGTTCTAGTAATGACCTTTGGAGTCATAGAAAATTCTGAATGTGACTCTTGGTGGTGGCCCTTGAGGTGGCTACCTGCAAAGGGGAAAGGAGGATTGGTCTAGAAATATTAGGCACCTGGTAAATGGGCTTCAAGTTCAAATAATTCACTTGACTTTGAGAACTTTCTGGATTCTGCAGATGAGGGGTTATTTTCATAGTACATGGATTTGTTGTAACCAGGTTTGGTAAGATACACAGACATGAAAATGATTGGTGTGAAGGAAGAAGTGTTTATTCTACTCACAGTTCCCTAATAGCAGGATGCATGC